ACAATGGAAATGACTCAAGTTCCTTGAGCCACTGGAAGTCCAAAGTAAACAATATTTAAATTTTCCGGCTTCCATGTTACCATAGCTAGCCCTACATGGGGTAATTTTTGGATAGATTTGATGAACATTCTTTGAATATTCTTTATAATGATTCTTTAGGATTAGGACTCATTGTAATAATGCTTTTGAAATTATGTTATGTAAACAACCAACACTAGCATACACAGTATTGAAATGCTTATTATATTGGGGTCATTGCTTCTTTCTAATCAGCACTATGTTAAAATGTAGCAGTTTAAAAGCAGATACACACTATATTGCCAAAAATATTGGGACGCCTGCCTTTACACGCACATGAACTTTGATGGCATCCCAGTCTTAGTCAGTAGAATTCAATATTGAGTAGGCCAACCTTTGGCCCTATAACAGCTTCACCTCTTCTGGGAAGGCGTCCACAAGGTTTAGGAGTGTGTCTATGGGAATGTTTGACCATTCTTCCAGAAGCGCATTTGTGAGTCAGGTACTGATGTTGGAGGAGAAGGTCTAGCTCGCAGTCTCCACTCTAAATCATCCCAAAGGTGTTCTATCCGGTTGAGGTCAGGATGCTTTGCAATGCACTTGGGAATGTAAGGCTTGGATGCAGCTGCTCGACCATGGAAACTCATTCTATGAAGCTCTCTATGCACTGTTGTTGTGCCAATCTAAAGGCCACAGGAAGTTTGGAGGTCTGTAGCTATTGACTCTGCAGACAGTTGGCGACTTCTGCGCACCTTGCACTTCATCATGTGATGACCCCGCTCTGTCATTTTACATGGCCTACCACTTTGTGGATGAGTTGCTGTTGTTCCCTGTTGCTTCCACTTTGTTATAATGCCACTAACAGTTGACTGTGGAATATTTAAAAGCAAGGAAATTTCACGGAACACCTGAATCCAATGATTTGGAAGGGTGTCCCAATACTTTTGGCAATATTGTTTATTTTAGATTGTTGATGTGTGCTTAATAATTGTGTGTATTTATAAAATGTATAAAATTATGATATACCCAAAAAAAATTCTGACAAGCTGAAAATTATATTACCCCAGATGTTCTATTTTATTTTTGATCTTCTATTTTATCTGGAAAAAACTAGAGACATTTTGTGTCTTTGGGTTTCGTAAGAACACTATTGGAGAGCTACAGAATTTATAATTAAAAAAATATTATTACATCGCAATAAAAGACTCTGCAGACAGTAGGAGGGAATTTATAACTCATAAGTGCAAATTACTATTCAGATAGACAATGAGGCAAGGATTTGGCTTTGCTGAGGTTGCCAAGGTGGGAATAATGAGGGCTGCCAATGATTGGAAGAACCCATTAATGGACACATAGGTTTTTTTAACTAAGAGAACAAGTATTTAGTTTGTGTGCACATTATTAACATCAGTCATGGAGAACATCATAGTGGTGCTGCAGTGCAATTCAACATGGGCAGATGTCTTCACTGCCGTTGCTGTTTACCTATACCTCTGTTTATTTTAATTATAGATACATCAAGGGGAACCGTGTCCCATGAGACATTTTCCTGCTCCATTCGTAGCACTGTTAGGACCTACCATAGTGTTCTTTAGACTTGGCTGACCAGATTACATACAATGACATTGCTGTTTCCCTTTTCTTGATAAGAAATTGCATAATTGACAATTTGCCATCCACTCACAAGGGGAATTATCAACAAGCATGGAAATATATGTGCTGCAACAAGCCATTTCAGTGGTTAGAAGAACTTGTGATTGTCCATACATGAACTTAAATTTGCCCAGTCATATCATGCAATGTTGTAATCATGCACATGACTTGCCAAGATCTATGTATGAGCACCCAATAAGTAGCTGTACAAATGTTAATATTTGTAAGTGATACAGCTAAACAAAAAATAACTTCCCTTCTTCAGTTACAGCCTTCAAGTTCAATTCCAAATTTGACATATGGCAACATTTAGCAAAGGCTCTATATGCAACAGAAGTGATTAAACAAGAGCTGGATACATGCACTAATGCAGCCCTTGTATGGTTGCATTTTTCATCCATGCCATTAAATTGCCAGATAGAAATCTGCCACCTTTGAAACTGAGGCAGTGGTTTACATATATGCTTGTTATCCACAAAGATCTAAGGTGACCTCTTTTGAACACAATTGACTCATCTGTGTGCCAATAATCAGGCCAATAATCAGCTTATCTGAGTTTAGCACTCTTCTATACTTTGCAGGTTCTGGATTTGATTATCACTACAGGCACTATCTGCAAAGATTTGTTCCCTGTGTTTAGGGGATTTTTCTTTTACCGTAGTCTAGTTATATACTGGAAGGTTATATTGCCCCTACCAAAACTGACTGGTGTGTGTATGTCTGTTATAAAGACAATTATACTGTAGGGTCCTTTAAGGGTAAGAATTGATGTGAAAAGCTCAAAATAATCTGCAAAACCTTGTGGAATAAAAGGAACTCACATACATGAGATGGATAGGACAATGACCTTTAGTCTGAGAGGTATACCCTCACATTTTGTCTCAGGCTTCATTGAGTAAAGCTGGATATACACCATTACATTTTCACAAGAGAGTTCATATGAACAATCTCATAAGAATGTTGAATTCTATTAGAAACTTGACAAATTAATTTTTGTTTCGTTTTAAAAGTAAATTTTGGGACATATAGAGCTTCCAGAAAGAAAACCACATTCACTGTTAAAATTTTTTTTCATTGCAATGGTTAAAATCATTTGTCATTTTGACCACATTAAAACTTTTTTTCTAACATAATTCTATCCATGTGTAGATAGGACTGGTTACAAAACCTTATAAATACTATTGTTTACATATGATATGCCACTGCCATCAATGTCTACAGCATGACTTCTCCTATCCTCTCAGGATAAACAGAAGTTTTCAATTGCATTTTGGGGATGAATTATAACTGCACCTCCAACTATTCTCTAGTGTTTATACTTGTGTTAATGTTGGTGCTATATACATGAATAAAAACAAATAAAAGATAGCTTCCTATCTGATATGCTTATCCACTGGGCAGTGCATCCTGGTAAAAATCTTCTTAGCGTGTACATGAGGTGCCATATTATCTCTGCCTACTCAGTACAGATCAAAACAATTAACATAGTAAAAACAATATAGAAAATGATTTAGCCTGGTCAGACTATGAAGGCCCTTCTTAGGATGCCCATACACCTAACCATTCATTTTGAAAGCATTCATTTCCAAAATATTTGTTTGACTTTCTAATAATTAATGGGGTCTAATCAATAATTGATTTTTACCATAGTGATGGAAAAAAATCGGAGCAGGATGGATGTTGAATGTCTTTCGCAATTTTGTTTGGTTTGAACAATCAATTTTGGAAATGAAAACCACATTTCACTTTACAAAACTCCATTAATTTCCAAAATTGAATGTCAAACCCAAAACGAAATTTGGAACAACATTTGTCAAGTCTCTGATGGCATTATCGAATGTTCTGATGGGATTTTTTTGTGTGAATGTTTGCTTTAAGCTGGCCATACACAGAGTGAATTTTATCTCATTCTTGATGAAGCAGCCAAAATTTGCTCAATGAGTGGCCCGGCCACCTCCCGCCTGTCATTCTTTGATTGAAAAACCAAAGGCGCCTGGAGGAAAACTGTCGACCGAGCAGCGCCTGCATCCATTTAAATGCAAGTACAGTACAGTCGGTGAGATCAACTGTCAAAATAATTAACTGCAGTTGTAGATTCCTCCATCTACGCTGTTTAGTGTGGATGGTGGAATCTGTTAGATTTCTTTCTGTTGAGCGCAAAAGCTGAGCAAAAAAATCTATAGGTGTATGGCCACCCTTAGACTGATTCTACGACTCAGAAAGTTCACTATCTATCCGTAGATTGTCACAACCACACTCACATAAAAAAATATTGTAAAACATTACATTTTATTAAATTCATAATGCATCACACTAAAAGAATAGGGTTTTACCTCTACGGGAGGATCTAGTTCCTCTTACAAGAGCATAATGTTAAACATCTCTGGGTTTATGTCTTCTTGAGCAGCGTCAATATATTTTTTTATTTAAAAATATTCAAATGTAATATATTATAATATTATGTATCGACCTATGAATAGAAGGTACATTTTATTAATTGTAGAAATGAAAACACATCCCCCAAAAATGTTCCACCCTGTTGAAATATCTTTCCTTTGTATACAGTCACCGTTGTCTAAACTATTTAGATTGTGGGACAATTTGATATAATATATATGGATAGACTGATGCTGAGTACATTCAAACAATACAAATACTACTACCGTAGTTACATTTCTGCTTGGTCACCAAGTTCCATTGGTGTATGAAAATGTATGCCTAAATGTATATAAATGTGAATGTGGGCGAATAATATTAATTAGCAAAAAACCTGGTCTAGACAGCCAAAATGTAGGTGACTCAATATTGGTTTCTCTGCTGATTCCATGTTGATTATTTCCACCTTAAAATGTATGTACAATTGTTCAATTTTCTAGTATTTACTCTCTCTTTACCCACAATTGCAGAAACAATGTAAATAGTACAGTACAATTGACTCATCACATTGCTTGGCTTTATAGGTGTATGCAAAGAAAACAGAGCAGTGGGGATGAGCTCTCATTTTCTGACTTGTCTATGTATGGGAATTAGGACATAGGAATTCTATTAGTAGAGGCTAAAGCCCCACTATAAAATCACCAGGTGACACTAGTAAGCCGTCAGACTCACTGGAGCCATGTCCAGGGACATTTGTCGGAAGTGAGAACCTGGAATGGTTACGTTAATTAGTCCTTTCTGATAGCTATTATCCAAGTTTTTGGTTCTTTCTTTGATGTGCTTCACACTTGCATATGCAACAAGCTATAAAGCAGAAACTCAGCATGGACCAAGAGCTTAAGCACGCACAGGACTAAACTGATAGGTCCAGCAAACACACAGTGGTCTTCAGCATGGTCAAACAAAGGTTCTCCATAGACTTTATCCTAACGGGGAGTAAAGAAGACTCTTTGGCTGGGAAAGATGCCTCAAAACCACACATTCCCTGTGCACCACAGCCACAGCCTCCATGTAAATATACAGAAAGGCCCAACCAACCCAAAAGGAAAACTCAACATATGGAAACTTGTAGAGATTCTAAACCTTTCAAGAACCTTTCAGAGGAGCAGGAGACTTGTCTAGAGTATGTTGTATCTTCCACAACTGGTAAGTACATTTGTGTTTAGAAATTAACCTGTTTTCAAATCTATAAATCTTTTATTACATCTTTATTTAATAGATTTTACAGCATACTATTGCTTAAATGTTTATAGCAGTGTAGAACCTGCCCATCATTTACCAGCATCAAAAGATATTTCAAACAAACCTTGCTGATGCAAGAGAAGTGTTATAATTCAGACACTGTTCATACTTAGACAATTCATTTTAGTAACTAGCAATGTACTAGCCACATCTTAATAGTAATGGTCGATTCCTCAAGATGTTTCATGTAAGCTTAAATATATTCTGGTAAAATGTATGTTATTGTAGAGAGAAAAAAACACCATTTGACTATTTTTTATTTGTACTTATGTGTTTTTATCGGCATATTTTATATCCTTTTCTTCAGTTCATGCTGCGCTTTACCTTTTTTTTATACGCAAGAAAAGCATACAAAATACATATGTAATATAATATTTCAAGAATTTAACATTACTGTCACACTAGCTTACTAAATGTATTGGTTTAATTGTTAAAAGTGGGCAGTCATTTCTGTTATTTAATATGATGGTTTAGAATTCAGTAATGTGCAGTAATCACTGAAACCAATTGATTTGCATTGATTGATATGATAACAGCTTGCTAGTTGTCATTTATGCCAAGAGGTAAAAGGTGCCCATCTCTGGTTATTTTTAGTTACAATTTAACTTTTTAATTGCTTTATAAAGTTTTTTTTTAAATGTACTACAAAGTACTGCAGAGGTCTAGATTAGGGAATAGTAGGGGCTGGATCAGATTAGCACTATCCATCTAATCCCAAAGTAAAGACATATTCTGCTGTATAAACTATTTACATGGCACTCCTAAACTCTAATCCTCATTGTCCATTTAGCTCCACACGGGGGTTGGGAAAGCGCTGATGAATCCACGTCCAGTTGCTCAGAAGATGAGAGTGAGCAGATTGGATCTCAGAGTCCAGAAAGAGGTCAGCCTGAAGATGATGACCTTGGAGAAGCTAGCACCAAGAGTGAGCTGCAACGCAGGATGAGGACAGCATTCACTTCCCAGCAGATCTGCAAACTTGAGGAGATGTTCAAGAAGCAAAGATATCTGGGGGCCTCTGAAAGAAAGAAATTAGCAAGTTCTCTACAGCTCTCGGAAATTCAGGTAACTGTCCCTGCCTTGGGTTTATTGAGAACAATAGCCAACACACATTGTTGATATGTAACTGCAATGGAAGAATGCCTTCCCCCACCTTTTTTTTATCACTCTGACAAATAAACTGAACAGAGGAAACCTTAACTATATAAAATGTCAACAATATAAGGAAGACATTACAATCACAATACAATTCAAGCCAATATGGTAAGGAGGGTCCATCTTGCCTTGCTCCAGATTCTGTCTGCTCCAGTATTGATAACTTCCCCTCACAGCCCTTTCCATATACATGGACATAAATGTGTATGATGATGTTTATGTTAGATTCAAGTAACAATAGACTCATGGGATGTTATGATTATGAAAGTAAGCCCTCACGGGCAGGACCCTCCTTACCATCTTGCCTTGAATTGCATTGTGATTGTAATATCTTCCTTATATTGTAAGGCGCTGCACAAACTGTTGGCGCTATATAAATCCTATATAATAATAGTAATTATAATAATGTAGCCCATGGGTAGGCAACCTTGATACTCTGAATACCATTATGTCTCTGCCTCTGGGAGTCATGCCTGTGGCTGTCAGAGTCTTGCAATGTCTCATGGGACTTGTAGTTCCATGATAGATGGAGTACAGAGGTTGCCTATCCCTTCTATAGACCTTACACTCATGGTGACAAGGAAACTTAAAGGAAGCATGCCATAACAGACATATGTGTATGCTAGTTCCCCGTCTAGCATGTTAATTCTATGGCTTCATTACCTTACGACTTCTAACTGACACACAACAAGCAGGCAGATTGAAATATGAACTCCGGATCTGCATTCTGGGTGAGTGACTTATATTGGAGCTATTTGGTCAAAAGAATGGCAGCCAGGGTACTAATATATTAAGAGGACAGGACAGCCTACAAGAGGTTTTAGTTAAAGCACTCAAGCAGCTGTATTTGTCTGATTTAAAAAACAAACTGAAATAGAGGCATCCAGCAAAGAAAGCATTTAGGGTCTATTCACGGCAGCTCGGTCCACTGTGTTGTGTTTAAAATGGACATGCCTTGTTTTGCATGTTAACAGGCATTGCATTAGTGCAGCCCATTCACTTGAATGGGGTGCCCAATGCACCACAACAGACATGTGCACCAAAAAGCACATTAGTGCATTTAACACATTAGCAACACAATTCATTCACAGCTAAGCGGCAACATAGAAACGTGCGTGCATCAAGTTGCGCGTTTTTGCAAGCAGATTGTGCTGATGTATATAGGCAAACGTGTGCAAAAACGCACAAAAATAATTGCATTGCGTGTTTCCAAGCATTTCCTATTGAGTCGATGGGGACGAAACGAGCTGTAATCTGCCAAAAAGAAGCTTATGTGCTCCAGCGACAGGCATTTTGCTTATTGCGACAAAACGCTCAGATGTGAATAGGGGCCATAGGAATGAATGGGATTTTTTTTGTGCAGCATTTTGTTGTGCTAAATCAGCTGCGACAATACGCTAGGTGTGAACCAGGCCAGAAGGTGTATTGGGGTGCCATTCAGAATAAATGGCTCTGCATCATACCAACCTTAGCACTGCAGGTGTGGTGAAACTACAAATACCACCATGCCATGGCTGTCAGTTTTGCAATGCCTCATGGGACTTGTAGTTTCCCAACACCTGGAGTGCACCAAACCTGCCTACACCTTCCATAGAGCAATGGAATAAACAGGCCCTCTATGCTTATCTATCCCACTGCTGGTACTGTCACTCTTTGCGAGCATGCCTCCTTTTCAGTTTTTATAATAGCTTTAAAAGCATGTAGAAACCTAACTGAACATAATACTTCTGAGGTTTATTATCTCATAACCTTGTCTTTTAATAGTAAATATGTCAGAAACAGGGCGGTAGACTTCACAAGTGGTGTATTTAATATGTTGTTTATTTATAGGTGAAAACTTGGTTTCAGAACCGGAGGATGAAACTGAAAAGGCAAATGCAAGACCACCAACATCGAATGACGGCATCCTCTGTCTGCTATCCCCACCCTATGCCTTATTATCATGGACCTCCTGTCCCTGTAAATAACTTACATTTTTACCATGGCCAGGCATGTTCCTACCAAACCCCAGAATCACCGTACACACCAGATCCAAGATTTTTACCCACAGCAGCGCCTCCCCCAGCTGTCATGAACAATGGCCATTTTGACCAATATAATCCATATTACAACAATCTTTATATGTGATAAATCTATACAACAATTGCCCTACAAGAGCCTTATGAACTAAATCTCTGAAACTGTGGAATTGACGTGTGAAGAAAATGTAAATTGTACAGTAATTATCTATTTTTAGATGTTCTGTTTTTAATGTGTCAAACGCTGATTATCTATGTACATATTTTAATATATAATTATGCTGCAAATCCTTTTTTCTTGGTGTAAGTTACAAACTGTGTTATCTATTTATATGTTCGCATTTATAAATGGTATATTCGTATAAACTGCTTTGTAGTGTTGTTGTTTCTATACTGAGCTCAGCTGATTAACACTCGTGTAGATTCTAGCCAGTTCTTGTCATTTCTGTTTATGTCACCCCATCAGGGAGATGTTCCCTCACTTCCTGTCCCTGTGATGGTTATACAAGAAATGTGGGTGAAGTTGTCATCAGTCCAGGAGGGCACATTGTCAGAAGAGCTAACCCTTCCCTTCTCTACCATAAATTGTGTTTTTTGTTTTCGTCTATGTCCCCTTTAGAGAGATTTCCTGTTCTGACTGGTGGTGAAAACTCCCCAATAGGGACAGAGATGACGATAAAAATCTGATGTAGGAAAATTCCACCTTTCGCAAAAAATAATGAATACACACAATGTGCATTTAGTATTCTTTTTCAGTAAAGCATTGCATCAACAATCAGTAGATCACAGGTGCAATGCTCTGGCTCCTGCAGCCTCTTCCTCCCATCCAAAGGGAAATGTAAACATAGCCTTTAAAGATGACCATACAATGCTCCAATTTCAGCTGATTCCTGCTAAGCACCACCAACAAAAGTCAATTTTTCAATCAACTTTTGTCCCACCGTCTGCTAAGTTTATTTATGTATTATTTGTTACAGGTATTTATATAGCGCCGACAATTTACGCAGCGCTTTAAATAGTGCACATTCACATGAGTCCCTGCTCTCAAGGAGCTTACAGTTTAAGGTCTCTATCTCACACGCATGCATACAGGGCCAATTTAGACAGGAGCCAATTAATGTTTCAGCATGTCTTTGGAGTGTGGGAGGAAAACGGAGTACCCGGAGGAAACCTGCGCAAGCACAGGCAGAACATGCAAACTCCTTGCAGATAGTGTCCTGACCGGGATACAATAGCCGTTAATAGAGATTCCTCCATCCACACTGTTTATGGGCTGAACGTTTAAAGCTGTATGGCCAGCTTAAAACGCAACTGAAGCCAAAACTTTTTTTTAGCTTTGGATATAATGGAGAGGGATTAGAACACCTGTCAGGTTTTTATTGCTGTCTGTGTCCCCATTAGGGAGAAGCACCCTCTCTATTTGTCCTGGTGACCATTATCACTGAAAGGGAAATCATTTTGGGTTGTCATCAGAACAAGAATAGATGGGACATCTTCCAAACGGGACACTAGTTCTGGTGACTCTGCTGAGCATCGTGGATTTCCTTTTCTTTGGAGGGATTTCCTTTCACTTCCTGTCTTGGCTATCAGACAGGAAGTGAAAGGAAATCTCCCTGATGGGACATGGTTGGCGATAAAAAAGCGGACAGGGGTTATGACCCTGCTTTACTCTATCTATAACCAAAAATAAATACATTTTGTGTTCAGTTCTACTTTAACTCCTTCTCACTTTATTCCAAACAATAAACGATGTCTGCAGTTGGGCTTTCGATATTAAGCTCAGGTCACAAAGCTTTAACACAGGGAAAAAGGTCTCTGATTTAGCCATGTGACTGCAACTTTCAAATCTCATCAGACTCAACTAATAACAATTGTCTCTTTTTTTAAATAAATATTCTTATCCTGGTGCGTTAGCTTTGTGAACTGAGCCTTATGTTTTTCGGTAGAGATTAAGTGAAAGTGAAAAGCACTAAGTGAAAACTGTTTCAGCCATAGCAAACCATCAGAATCCTCCTCGTTCTGTCTGTCTTTGCAATGTCATTGGCAAACTGGGTACCTTGGGTTTATTCAAGAAGACACATACAACAGTGAGAACGCCTTGACTTAACATGCTGCAGTGGTGTGCACTGCATATGAATTACATACAGCAGAGAAAAAAGCAAGCACTCCAATATGTTTTAACAATGTATCGCACAACACAGCAGAGAACATTCATATTGGAAGATTTAATTTCACTTCCTGTCCCAGAGATACAACAGGAAGTGAGAGAAAATCTCAACAAAGTGATGGGAACTCCCTTTTACACAGCTGTCACCGGGATAATTGGATTTCCCGTCACTTTATGACTCTTTCCTAATATTCCAAAAACATTGGCTATATATATAGTTTAATCCTTCATGCAGGGTATGAACGATAGAGTTACCTCTTAGTGTAAACAGCACATTTACCATATCATACTAATTTAGTGATGCAAATGCCTTCATCGTCATCACATACATAGTTAGCAAATGCAATAAACCAATGTGTGTACTTGAGAACTGAGCAGTGACGAAGAAGATTGGTTCAATTGTTTTCCAAAGCATTAAAAAACATTCCTCCCACCCAAAATTGATAGTAGAAACTTGTGGTGTCTGTTGGGCTAATTTCCTCACTGGCTGTCTCCATCTCTTGGAGGCTCCAGTGATAAAATGTAGTTCTCTACCTCCCTATCCTGAAGGTTTGTGTGCTGCCACTACCCTTTGCTTCTTTCAATCTCTAGAATATAAAATACATTTAATTAAATCATTGAATTTAAATATAAAATACATTTCAAACATGCTCAGTGGAAACCTGTCATAATTGGCTGTGTCAGTCGTTTAGGCCTGGAAACTCAAGTGCAGCAATCTCCCTACTGGAGTTCCTAAGGGATATCAGAAACAGGGGTTTAATCAGCCAGGTCCAGCAACAGGGTGAAATGATCCTTTATCTCAGATGTCTGTGAAGGTTTTTATTAGGGTTGCACAGATACCAAGTACAGTACTCGGTACAAGTACGAGTACATGTACTGATACTTTTGAGCTCCAAGACTAGACTAGAGAAAAACTCAAAAATTGGGAGGCCGCTGTCATTTGTAAGGAGCACACGGAGCACCTGGGATTAGTACATCTCTGTTTTAATGTACAATTTTGTTTTTATAAATATAAATAAAGGGATGCACAGATACCAGGTTTGCGAGTACGAGTACTGGTACTTGCCGAGTACTTACAACTACGAGTACTGATACATTTTTGTTTATTGTCATGTGACAGTTTTTCTAAAACAATACAGACTAATGATTTCAGGACAGTGGTGGAGCACCAGACCCGGGTCCCAGCTGCAACCACTGCAACCCTGGTAGTTCTCATGAAAATGCCAAGTATCTGCACTGGTACTCGAAACGTATCTGTGCATCCCTATTTTTTTTCATCCAGGTCATGGTATATCTGTAAACATAATCAAGCCAACTGGACTTGCTGTATTTTTCGTGAAGATATTTTGGCTGGTCATCCAGCTTGTTTTCTCAATTCAGAATTAAGAAAGCTGGTTGGTTGACCAGCAAAATGTCAGACAGATTTATCTCACGTTACTGCATGAGAATGTTCCAGCATTGTGTAAGGTAGTGGAGGGTAGTGAGTATCCATTTATGTAGTAAGGTACCAATACTCCATATTGTTTAAGTGTCATACAGTACATTACTTTGTGTAAGGTTACTATGAGGTGAGTGAAAAGCACTCACCTCATAGTTCTCCTTTAATATTAGTTAATATTAGCATTGTATAAAAAAGGTGTGAAGGCTTAGTGCAAAATACACAGAAGTGCTGGAAGCAGTGTTCAATGGCACAACAACCAAAGGCATTTGCACACAATAATTTGATAATTTGCTGGAAATTCTCTGCACACATTAGTGTAAATGGTTGTATAAGAAGCTAGATACAGTGATGTCATAGGTGATTAATGATCTATGTACAGCCCAAGACTCAATGAACTATAAGAATTTTATTGGGTTCCCATTGCTTAACTATAAAGTGCCAGTTATATAATTATCCACAATACAATTAGTTATTATTAAAGGAAAATGCATCAGTATAACCATAAGTTAAAATAAATATTGCAGCAGTTTAAAAAAGTCAGTTCATAAAATAAAGAGTCCCAAACACATCCAAGTTAATATGGTGAGTATCTTAGCCCAGCTGACTCCTTAAGTGATGGATGGATTAGAACTGAAGGGCACGGGTAAGATCCAAGGTTTGAAGGTAGCATGGATGATGAAGGATTTCCCGGCCTAATCACTGTAGCAGAAAGTGGTGTGAGATGAGGGGTAGATGCTGGAGGGGCAAGGGGCATGGCCAGTCCAGGGAGTGCAGGACCGGCCGGGGTCTGAAAATCTGAGTAGCCATAATAAGGCATGTACAGTCCAGAAAAGAAAGCTCCTACTTGGGCATCTTGACTTTGACGCTTGAACTTCATCCTCCTGTTTTGAAACCATGTTTTAATCTAGAAATAGATAAGGAAAATGTGTGAGCATATTTATCTGACATCATATTTTTTTTTTCTTTGGAGATACAGGCAAAAGTAAATCTTTAATGATGATTCAAATTAATTTCAGTTGGTCAGTTGAGTTCCATAGTCCCGTCAGATACAGATCAACGGAAACTTTCCACAGAAATGAGTTGCTGAAGAGCATTAGAAATCCTTTGCTAGAATACTGTAAATATTACATTAAATATTTCCATAAAGACATGTGATGTTTTAGAATACATTTATACATTTTATATTAGACATGTGCACTGCCAAAAAATTCGTTTCGTTTCGTTTTAAATTCGGATTTGTGTTATTTCGTTTTCCGGGATTCGGGTGTGAAAGTCAATTCGGATTCGGACGAAATTCGGTAGCGTTAGTTTGAACGTTCGTTTCGTTTTCTGTTCTTATTCGTTTCTCATTCGTTTCTTATTCGTTTCGTTCGTTTGCAGCAAAAGTGACATTTGAGGGGGAAAAAATATTTTTCTCCTTCTCTAATGTCACTTTGCTCCAACGAACGAAACGAATAAGAACAGAAAATGAAATGAGCGTTCGTGCGAACACTACCGAATTTCGGAAATGGAAATTCGGATTCGTTTGCATTCGTTATGTCTGTAATTCGGAATTCGGATACATCCGAATGTCCGAATTTACGAAAATTCGTCCGAATTTCGATTCGGAACGAAACGAATCGCACATGTCTATTGTATATACTGTAGTTTCAAGATAGGAAGGGACATTTAGGAGTGGAAGCCTTTATCATATTTGTTAAGAAACAAGTATATTAAATATTGGTGATGAATTACTGAAAAGTCACTTTGCCCTGGTCTGTGGTAAAGCTAAATTCCAGCCAAAACATGTTTTTGGGGTTATAGGAAGAGTTGTCAGGTTTTTATTGCTGTTTGTGTCTTTATTAGGGAGATATTTCCTCACTTCCATCCTGGTGATCGTACAAAAAGTGAGGAGATCTTATCAACCTGGTCATAAATGGCAAAAAAGCCAGGATTTCTTGCATTATTTACAGTAAATATATCAGAAAATAATTAATAAGTTCAGAATGAAAAACATTTAAATTGTTTTCTAGAGATCTATAGTTGACATTATTTCCCATAAACAGATAGATTAGATAAAGAAGGTTGGGTGGTGAACCCCAATGAGCCTACCTGGTTCTCTGATAACTTCAGCACCTTGGACAGCCGCTTCTTCTCATTGGAGCCAATGTACCTGTGCTCCTTAAAGCTCTTCTCCAACTCTCGAAGCTGCTCTTTGGTGAATTTAGTACGTGGTCTGGATGTGGCCTCCTCCTCAGAAAGAGATTCAGGGCTTTTAGCGCTGTCTGTGTCCAAACACTGATGTTTCTCTGGGACAGGACTTGGCTTACAAAGTGAGACTTTCTTGAATGACTTTCTAGACATGATCACATCTGTCAAACAGAAAGAAAATACAAGTCTATATTGTACTCTGTGTGGAAAGAGTAACTGCACCGTACTGGCAATAATACTTACAAAAACATTATATTGTCATATAACAGATAGGATAAGATATACTGTATATCTAGGAGGTGATATATACAGAGCGTATAGGTTGCCTAAATATGGCTTGTATTTTCAGTGTCATAATGTGGATTTTCTTACATGTAAGCAGCATGTATGTAATTAGATGTCTACAGCTCACCATTTCACCTGAATCAGCTTACTCTAGAACCAGGCTCATTTCATTCTCATGGTTAAATGGGTGAATGTGTCACCATATTATGTAATTGTGATAGTGAAGAACAATGGTCAGCGCCCACATATTCATTGGTGTGAAATTCCATAACCAACAGAAGTGTACAATATCCAACAGTCACTTTACAGAAATTGTCTGTAACTGGAAAGTCAAATTCTGATTGGCTACCATGGGGAAATGCAATACTATTTATCTTTTTTTTATTTTACTGCCACCTACAGCACCACAACAATGTTTTGTTTAAAATATTTATGCAAATATATAAATTAAGTAAAAACAGTCTGATAAATACAGTATATGTTACTGTTTCTACATAGTTTGCAATTGCTCATTGCATACACTAACAGGGTTATTATTATTATTATCATTATTATTATCATTATTATTCAGGATTTATATGGCGCCAACAGTTTGCGCAACGCTTTACAAAATGGGGGAGACTGTACAGTTGTAATACAATTTCAGTACAATAGGGTTAGTAGGGTTATTCACAAAAGTGTGAAGAGTTTGGAGAAGGCAGAAGAAGTGAACAATTTTGGACAACATAGCTGAACCAGAAATTTAGCTCAATTGGAGAATTTCATTTTTCCAAATCAGCTTTGTTGCCCTAGATCAGGGGTAGCAAACCTCTGGCCCACCTCCGGCACTACAGCTGTGGTGGAACTACAAATCCCATGAGGCATTGCAAGATTCTCACAGCCACAGACATGACTCCCGAAGAGAGATGCATCATGGGATTTGTAGTTTCGCCACAGCTGGAGGGCCGGAGGTTTGCTACCCCTGCCCTAGATTGTTCACTTCTCCTGCCTTCTCCAAACTCTTCACCCTTTTGTGAATAACCCTGTATATATACTGCAGTTCATAGTGATTGCCTTTACTGTTTTTCTCTGTCAGCCATTTGCTGTTTTTATCTTAATACTCATCCAGAAAGGCTGCTACATGCATGCGTGGGACTAATAGCCAAAAGAAGGAGAGTTTGCAAATTTGGATATAACCTACAACCATGAAAACACTCAACAGCAATTCATTAAAAAAAAAAACACGTGAAAAATGTTTATTAGGTAAATTTTAAATGTACTGAAGAGTATCTATTATTACTCTTTACATAGTAAAATTAAATACATGAAAACTCATACCTGACTAATACCCTATTTATCCCCCAAGGATGCTAAATGGTAGTAGAGGAGATCATTAGAAACACTCATAGCTTAGTTCTTACCATGTGCTTCTGCCTGGGTTCTTTGGACCTGGTAAAGTGCTGTTGTGTGGTCAAAGTGATTTTCCTTCTCATTGCAGATAGTTGTTGTGATTGGCTGCTCCATTTCAAGAGCACTGAGCTCCTTATGATACTGAAGGGCAGATGTACCAGATCTGCATGTCAATAAATCCACACTAGGGTAAGTGGTATTCCTGTGACTGCTCTCTGACAGCCATTGCACAGAGTAAGACTTCTTCTCCATTCCCAGTCAGAACTGCTCGTGTCCTTCTTCTCCAAGAGGTGCAAACTAACTATTGTGGCCCACACATATTTAAAGTCCTGGGCCAAGGTGGGGTGTAATGAGCCAACACTTGTAATGATGCCTATAACAATAGCCTTATTGGGTGTTACTGTCATTTCCATTGTGGTGTGATTGTCACATCCTCTTAATCCCTCAATACGGTAGTTAAAAGGGCAGTTGACTGGCTCCAAGTTCATTTCTAGAAGGCTAGCCTTCAATGATATCACAGACTGCTAATTGAATCAATACCTTTTTAGGATTCAATAGTCTTATATCATTGATTTTAACCCATTTAGAGATTCATTGTCTCAGGAGCAGATAACAGGTCTACTGGAGCCATCTCAATCACTCAGACTGACTTTAAACTTAATCAGAATTGTTCAAAGTTTTACTTTCTGTGAGTAATAAGTGATTGGATATTCAATAAATATGGTGAATAATTAAATGAATCAACGTCATATATGGTTTTTTTAAGAAGAAGAGCGACCAGCCAAAGAGCAGTGTGTGGCAGTACCATAACCCATAGAAACCAGCCACTTCTATCTGACTGCTCTAAGCGTAGGAAAGGCGAGTTCTAACTGGTTATGGACATTTCATTGTTCATTCCACTATGCTGTTATGCTAAGTATTGATGTAGTTTGCATCATCTAGGTAGAGCAGACCAAGCAAGCATTGTTTAAGTGGGGTATATAATGTATAATTACTTAGTTCTTCAAACAGGAACAGGGCTGGGAAGGGAGGTAGTTTTGTCAGATCTTTGGTACCAGGTCCTATTTGTGGAGAATCATGTTAATTTGTTTTAGTAAGGAAAAAGCAGCATAGGAAATGAGGCAATGACTGAAGAGTGAATGACAGCAAATGCTAAGTGCATTTCAAACTCAATAGCTTGATGTCTTTATGAAGTAGATCAAATGCTTAATTGTACATTCAGTAAGGGGAGATAAGACCCTCTCCCTCTCTCTTAGGTGATTCCAGATAAGAATGAGCTGCACACCTCCCCCTTAACCCCTTTCTCTTTAGGTGACTGCAGATTGCTTTGACTGGCAGTGGGTATTTGGCCTTTTTTGGAGTGGAAGGGGTTAAGGAAGACTAAAATGCCCTCCCCTCCTGCCAACAGCTCATTTAACACAATGACTGCTTGTCTGGATAAACTGGCACCGGTTTTACAACATATACAGGCCAATGATAAAGAACAAACGCACAGTGTAGTTTACTTATGTAAACTGGTTTGAGGAAGAAAGTAAAGTATTGATAACCATTGTCTTCAAAGAAGTCTTGTTGTCTATGTTTAGATTCTTCTCCAATGTATAGCTATAAACTGTGACCTCAGACCCAACATTTACATATAGTATATGGTACTTATTTGTCTGTATATATCAATAAGAGCAGTAACAGACATGAGATAGCGGTCGATATTAAGGGCTCGTTCACACTTAATGCTGTACCACAAGCATCACCAAGCACTATGATGTGTATTAGCACTAGTATTAATTGCAAAAGGCACACTAACACACATACACAACACCAGGGGCTCCACTCAATAAACAGGCAAGCATGCTCATATCTATCACACCAATGTCCATGTCCTGGGGCATGCATGTTCCGACTAACTTAGGGGAACAGGTTTGTGATTTTATCGTGAAATCCATCTCCAGCACTATTGAACCTTGTCCCAGGAGTGCCTGGACAGGTTGCATGCAGCCCACAGACAAACAATTATTTCCCAGTCGGTTATCAGCCAGGTCAAGTAGCTACAATAGACATCATACTGCCCTAGGTCTAAATAAATTATGTTGTTTTTTTAATCAGGTCCCATTAGTATTAAACAGCGCCAACAGTTTGTGCAGCGCTTTACAATATGTCAACCCTGTGATTATTTCTATAAAACTTAAACAAGGATGTTCTATTGAAGTCAGCTAGCTGCCTGCTTACAGCTTGCACTTGTTTCTCATTTCTGCAGACATCTGTCTGGCAGACACAAGGACATACCTACAAGGTCCTCTAAGGTGCATTGCAGTGACAACCCATGCTGCGTGTGAATGACAAGCTGTTTTCATACAAATTAATGAAGGCCATTGATGCACTTTTGCTCTAGTTTCTTTTGCCCTGGATTTCGCAAACTAATGGCAGCATCCATCTGATTCTCTGTGAGCACAGGTATTTTATTCTCCCTGTGCTTGTATGGGTTTCCTCCAGGTACTCCGGTTTCCTTCCACACTCCAAAGGCATGCTGGTAGGGTAATTGGCTCAGGTCTAAATCAGCCTTAAGTAGGGAACACACAAATTGAATCGGATTCCTGATGAACCGGCCCATATTCGCACAGTGGGTGCCGTATTGGCACCCTTGTGCCCGGCATCCCTTTATCAGCTGATCGGAGGAGCCGGTTGGAAAATTCTAGGTGTCCACTCTCAGAATTCAATGAAAACAGCGGGGGATGTGTAGTATGTATGGCCCTAGTAAGTAGACATGTGCACTGCCAAAAAATTTGTTTAGTTTCGTTTCGTTTTAAATTCGGATTTGTGTTATTTCGTTTTCCGGGATTCGGGTGTGAAAGTCAATTCGGATTCGGAATTCGGATTCGGACGAAATTCGGTAGCGTTAGTTTGAACGTTCGTTTCGTTTTCTGTTCTTATTCGTTTCGTATTCGTTTCGTTCGTTCGTTTGTTCGTTCGCAGCAAAGTGACATTTGAAGGGGGAAAAATATTTTTCTCCTTCTCTAATGTCACTTTGCTCCAACGAACGAAACGAATAAGAAACGAATAAGAACAGAAAACGAAACGAACGTTCGAACTAACGCTACCGAATTTCGGAAATGGAAATTCGGATTCGTTTGCATTCGTTATGTCTGTAATTCGGAATTCGGATACATCCGAATGTCCGAATTTCCAAAAATTCGTCCGAATTTCGATTCGGAACGAAAACGAATCGCACATGTCTACTAGTAAGTATATGTATGCTCCTTGAGGGCAGGGGCTGATGTAAATGTACTATATGTAAAGTGCTGAGTAAGTTGGAATAAATAATACATAAATAAATAATCCTGTCGTAGAAGCACCTTTAGTGTTTGAGCTCATCTGTTTGCTAGAAATTCATTTAGTAAACATTTGTTTATCCGGAACAGCTTTCTTTGAACTCATGGATTCACTGCGAGTCATATGCATTCATTTTCCCCAATGCTAGCATTTTGAGACTTTGGTTGGATATGCATACAGACTGTTCAAATAACTGCAACAGACAACCTTGAGACTTCAGATCCAGATAAAATATTATCTGTGAATGCCGGCAGAAGAAAATTGCCATGCTCTCACCCGGCTGATAATAAATGAACAACACAGTTTGTGATTTTTCAATGTCAACGAGTACATCAAACTATTCTGCAAGTTTATGCATTTTGGAGATGGAAATTTATTTTTTAAAGTTAATACTGACTGGTATGGTAGAGTGGTGAATATAATAAGACAAGACAAAGTGCAATCAATAGCAAGGCTTGCCATACTCTGAAAGTTTAATGCACGCCTATATTTTGTGTATGTTGTGGGATCTTCTATTATCTGTGAGGAAATACTGTATGGTGCAAGATCTGAGTAGATGGAAGGCAGAAGATGAACTGTTAGTGCTAGCATACATGTGTGGCCTATACATACAGAAATAAATGTTGATATATGCTCTAGTCATATGTATAACTAGCTATAAATATGCAGATCTTTCAGTCAAAATGTTTCAATAGTCAAAGATTGAATAGTCTGGAAACAGTTTTTAGTGACTAATTAACTGTATATGGACCATTAAAACCTTGTGACACTCTCTTCTCTTTTGACTTGTAGCTTTTTCTCCAAGGACCCAGTGTATAGCCACAGCTCACTAGAGAGCTGCCTGTATATGTTAGGGACTCCCATATCTATATGGCATCCTTGCCTATGATAAAGTCCAGCACCCAACCATCTTGTCTCTGTCATAGATATTTATTTATTACGCAGCACTTTTACATAGCGTACATTCACATCAGTCCCTGCCCTTATGGAGCTTACAATCTAAGGTCCCTATATCCCATGCATACATACAGGGCTGATTTAGACAGGAGCCAATTTACCTTCCAGCATGTCTTTGGAGTGATATGCAGATATATAACATAAGCTGCATACCTGCTCAACCTCTACCCCAAATGACATGCAAGCCAACTGTTAGTGCTCCATCCTCCATTAAAAATTGAAGGAAAAATGTATGTAAAATGCAAATAGAAGATAAAATGAAAGGCACACATTAAAAGCACTTGTGTGTTTTGTAACAAGACACATATTCGTTTTCTAATATGATGGTGTGAACGTACACGTTATAAGCTTATAAGTTCCATCCATTATGATGGTGCCAAGTCCACAGTAATGGTTTTCAATCCTTCAATTGTCTAAAATAATGGTGCCCGATAGTCTACACTGATTTGTGAACCCCCTGGTTTCACTTTCAAGTGTTATATTCATGGGTCATGCTGAATCTTTACAAAGTGGCTGTAGCTTCTACCAGCTTATAGCAACACATTTACCATTGAATTTTCAGCAACAAAGACCTGAATACATTTATTTCACACCTTCCACAGTGGAGGAGTCTTTCTGGCTCCATACTAGCCATACTGTATGTAGCAATTAAAGACATGACTAGGAGGCTCCTGATCTTGAAAAAAAAAAAAAGAAAAGTAAAGCTCCACAGGAAGCACTGAACCGCAAATTGCACAAACATGTTAATATTGTCAACAATGGAAACTGTTCTGCAGTAACTGATTGATAACTTCTGTGAATTCACCAATTTTATAATATTATTATTTTTTAGTGTGTCCCTTGTATATATATTCTTGGTCATAGATAGTTTATTCGCTATTAGTAAAAGTACGTTTTTATTTTATGGTACACCACGTACCATAAAATAAAAACGTACTTTTACTAATAGCGAATAAACTTACACACTGGCATTGAATTACTATCACAAACTATTGATTGGACATTCTGTGTCTATTTATTTATATTATTTATTGCATATGAATTATTTATTGCATATGAATAATTGATTAGTCACTTATATTATTTATAGTTTATGAGTTACTATTTTGAATTGCACTTTCATGTGATTTTTAAAATCTTCTTCATGTTACAGAGTTAACACTAGATTGCACTTTATACATTGATATTTATATGAATATCTGGCGCTGTGCACTTTTCGATTCACATACCACTAGGGGTTACACTTTGAGCATAGCAGCTTTTTATTCCATACAAGATTAAGGTTCCATAGCATGGGAATACTATTACATTATTTTATTAACTTGTTGGCGCATAAATACAAGACATCACCAAATAGTTTTTGAAATACTGCCTATAGTCACTTTTTGCTTCTTTGGGGTTGGGCACAATGATCTAATAAAAAATGTTTTATCTAAAAAAAATATTAAAATAAGTGACAGACAGAAATTAAGATCATATGTTTACACATATTATACAAATATCAACATACAGTATGTATTCAATTGTGTTATTGTGAAAATCATTGGTTAGATCATTCTTCTACAACTGACAATCTTTGGCTATCTTTGCCAATATTTGGCACAATAGAGGTGTACAGCAATGTGCCAAGAGGATGATGGCATAAGACAGTTACAGATTCTGCTATGTGCCAGATAAACGATATGTACTGTGACATAATATTTTATATTAAAAAAGAAAAGTCATAGGCACTCCAGATATTATACCAGTATGTCTTTTTATTGTTGCACGTTCACATTATCACAATGCAAACTTTGTTTAGTTTACTTTGTGATAATGTGAATGTGCATCAATAAAAAGACGTACTGGTATCACAACTGGAGTGCCGGTGACTTCCCTTCTTCCTCCGTATTCAGAAATGTGGCTCTAAATGCTTGTCACTGCAGCACCCACCAGGGACTATATTGAGATTCCATGGTCAGGGGTGCGATGGGGAATATGCAATCATATTTTATATGACATTCAATTTGCCAAAATAAGATGTCACGTGCGACAATATGCATTCCTTAACAACCGCCAGTCTTGGTTTATCTGATCCACTGTGTTTAAAAGGAAATAATGCTTCCATTTATTTGGTCACACCAATGTATGAATATTTATACTTTGGTATGGCAAAATAAATACAAGGAATCAATGATTTTATTTGTAGTAAGTCCTGATGTCCTCTTTTTACCATTTCATAATCTGTCACTGGTATGATGAGCATTAGGAGAAAAGCAATATGCTAGTGTTTGGGCTGGTTGGAATTTTTCATCTGATCTTCAACTCATGTCTACAGATAAAGACATACATATAGTGCTGCTACCCAATACTGCCTTATAGGCAGCAATAGGAAGATTCTCTGATGTGTGGGAACACATGAAAAAAAGGCTCACATTTCTGTTAGCTGCATGGTGTGCCATGGGGATATGAATGCAGATTGGAGTGTAGAGCTAAAAGAAATCACACTACAACACATCATATAGAGCGGCTTATTCAATAAAACAGTATAGTGAACAAAGAGCAGTAACCCAAATCAACTTGACTTCACATAACTATGCATGCAGTAGTTCACATTCACAATACAGGATATGTTAACTATAAGTTTCCATTAGGCTGAGCACTGAATTAACGTTAATGTTCGCACAATAATACTGCACAAACACAAATATCTTCATGCACACAAAGTGAAAGAGTATGTAAACTCAAACTATGAACTTCCCTTATTTACTCCCTTTTGGTCTGTTATATACACCACTGAAATCTTTATCTGATATATACATATAAAACAGACCTGCCAATCCTCCCAATAATCTTGTGAGCTTTTAACTTCCTGTACTCTCTTCTGCCTGTGCTGCATTCTTATCATTTACATTGTTCCCAGCTATCTCTGTGGACTTCCTAACACCTCCCCCAATGTTGTGGAGGATACAAGGGGGCTTCTGAAGTTGTAACACACGCCCTGTCCTAGGGTGGCAACGCTGCTCCTCAAGCACAGTGAATGAGTGTTGTCACCCTATGACAGGAATTGTGTAACAGTCAGTATTTACAGGAAAAAAAATAAAGGGTAAAAATGGCTGGAAAAAAGGAAACAAATGCATCCTCTGCATCTAGGGATTGGTAAGCTGCAATAAATTACATTTTTGATCTTGGGTTTAGATATGCTTTGATTAAATAACAAAGCCCTGCTCTGTAAGCTCTTATGAGCAGGGTCCTTTTAATCCTCCTGTATTGAAATTGTATTGTATCTTTTCTGTCTTCCTCCATTTTGTAAAGCACTGCACAATTTGTTGGCACCATGTAAAATATTTAAATAATAATGATAATTAATTATAATAATTATTATTATTACTAATGAGTCAGGATGGAACCAGTATTCTAATACTACTCACACTGCTTTCCAGAAGTGTAAAAATGTTCTGTGATATTACTATAGGTGTGAATATTTCCTATTGTGTGACCCTGTGTATTGGGAAGGAGTCAGTAACCATTGTTAAGTAGTACGGTACCAATACCCTATTATGTTAGAGTGTCATAACATTGTGTATTGTTTGGTCAGATGTCAAATTAAATATTATTGGTATTATATGATAAAGTGCCAAGACACAAACAACTCATTTGTTAAAGGATTAGTGAACAGAACATCGATCTCTGGTGATCGTGTCAATATTACCTTTTGAGATTGTGTGTTTGTCAATTTAATATGCGGTACTCAATGCCTTAAGGTGGCATATACATACATACACTCTTGGAATTTTGTACTGCTGAAGCTTGAGGATTGTGCAGCTTCCTTGAATGTGTGTACCCCCTTTTACGTGTGTCTCCCAGAATCTGTGAAACCCACGTTCATTATAAACTTATTTGCCATGGAATTAATGTTTAAAATCACATTTTATGCTGGATATTTATTTTCTAATTAGATTTTTTTTATTAGGAATGTGTCAGTAGGGGAAGTTAAAGAAGTTAAAGAAGAACCTTGGAACAATTTTTATTGACCACTTCTGTCTTTCTATGGCTATATGCATTTAGTCCCCGTTCACACCTTTGTGTTCCGTGAACATGTGCCAAACGGAAACATGTCAAATACTGGGTTCCTATTACTTGTTTATTGCACCGCAAATGCAGTTGGGAAGATGCATGTTTTTCCCATGCACTGAAAATCAGGAAGGGTCAGCGGCACTCCAATAGCGATGCAAGAACCTCTTTTATTGACGCATGTTCACTTAATCACAAAGCAAAACCAAGTATTTTTCCTATGCATTGACGCGTACATCTGTAGCAGAATCTGCTACATCAGCTACTTTCCCACTTGCGTAGCGTGTGCAGCACCCATTGAAATCAACGGGCCACACATGGCAAATGCAGGGAAAAATACATGTGAACTAGCACAATTCAGAGAATGCAAAAGTGTGAACAGGGATTTATACCTTAAATCTCTGAAATGTCCACTGTATGCTCAAATGTATATCTTCATTACACATTAAATGTATTTTTAACTTATTTAAAAAAAAAAAAAAAAAACTTGAATTACAGAATCGATTTCATTTTTTTAGACAACATGAATGTTATTTTTTGCAAATTTGCATAATAATTACGCATAATAAACACATAATAATGCATCATACATTGTTGTGTATTTGTAGTACTCCCACACCACAGAAAATCCATATTCTGAATGTTTTTTCTTCAATTTTTGTAAAACATAAAAAATTAATGTTTCAACTGTATTCAAGCCAAAACATTTTTTGTTGTGTTATGGGAGTGAAGAGGGACTAGTATCCTTGTCAGCTTTTTGATCATTGTCTGTGTCACCACTTAGTAGATTTATCCCTTTCTATTTGTCCTGGTGACCAATGGCGAGAGAAAGAAAATCCAAAATTTTGAGTTGTCACTGGAAAAGGGATAAAGGGTAGATTCCTACATCAATGCTTACGAGCGTTGATCAAGGAATCCCCTGCTGTTTCTATTGTATTCTGACAGTAGCCGCCGGCTGCTGTCAGAAAACCTGAACAGAGTGTGTAGTTGATTGGCTGACACCAGTGTTCGGCTGAGAACTTTTCAACCAGCTCCTTCGATCAGCTGACCTAGGGATGCCGGGCAGGTGGGTGCCAACAGGGGCATCCACTGTGCGAACTTCAGCAGAATTATCAGGAACCAGACAAAATTCAATTCGTGTTTACACAGCTTAAGGATGGATTACCATTACAATGGAAAGACTTTTACCTACTTCCTGTCAATTTAAAAGACAGGAAGTGGGGGGAAATCTGAATATGGGGGGGGGGCTTTAGAGATACTTTGAGTTTATTAAGCCAATCTCCTCAATCAGCACATATCTCAGTCTGACACTATCTTTTTGGACCTGTAACTTTGTGTCTTGCTCTAAATAATCTCTTATTTTACCTTCTATCTTATAGCAAAGAAAACCATTATCATGACATGTTATTATGACAGATTTAGGTTACATGTAACTTTTGCTGTGTTCCAAACCCTTCACCCTAAATCTCTTGGATGTGAAATTTTACACGTATTACATTAGGCAATATGGATAACTGCCTTCTATATTTTGCTGGGTTGTAATTATTTGACGCTCTTTACTTACATAAGGAAATGTGAAGATAAAAAACAACTGCCACTACCCTGAGCAGCGTTCCCACAAATGCAACTCTGGGGATTGTGATGTCCTGGGGTAATAAATGATCTACATACAATCCAAGAATCAAGAAATTATGAACTTTTTATTTTGTCCATATTAATTAACCATAAAGTGCCAAACATATTTTGTGCAAACATTCAAAGAAAAGGCAACAATAATAACATAATTTAAAATAAATATTTGTAACAATTTCAAAATGTCCATTAAAATATTAAAAACAGTCCCAACACATTCAAGTTAATATGGGGAGAATCTTAGCCCAACCGGCTCATTAAGTGATGGATGCACACGCACTGAAGGGCACGGGTAAGAGCCAAGGTTTTGAGGCGGCATGGATGATGGAGGATTTCCTGGCCTAATCACTGTAGCAGAAAGAGGTGCAAAGGGGTAGATGGATGCTGGAGGGGCAAGGGGCATGGCCAGTCCAGGGCGTGCAGGGCAGGCTGGGGTCTGAAAGTCTGAGTAGCCATAGTAAGGCACGTAGAGTCCAGAAAAGAAAGCTTCTACTCGGGCATCTTGACTTTGACGCTTAAACTTCATCCTTCGGTTTTGAAACCATGTTTTAATCTGGTAATAAATATGGAAAAACACATTAGCATATTGTTTGGTTTACAGATACTGATATGAGGCCCTATGACAGAAGAGAAGACATATATATTAAAACATTCTTAAGAGCTCTATAATTGCTATGAAGCTGTATGAACTGTACTGCCTAGTCTTGTAATGAATACTAAGCAAAACAAGTATAAAGAGTAGTTTTTCTTGTGTTTTGAAGGACACTCGGGTATTCTTAATTTAGATTGCTATGGTGTAACTCCAAAACTCACTAAGATTGGAGGAAAGATATGAGATGTCTATAGCAACCTGCTTTCATTTGCTATCTTGCACTTAAAGCATTAAAGCATGAAAGCTGAAATATGAATGGTTGCCATGGACAACATACCCACTTTCCTTATCTCCATCTGTACACACTGGGCTTATGGATATTAAAATCTACAGTATATTAAGCTGATTTTGCCTTCCCCAAATGTACTATGCTACTGTACACTTCTATTATACTATAATGCATGTACTGTTTATGTACTGTACATGCTACACATTTAACATTAGAGTTACAGGAATGTAAGTTATTCTTTAATATGATTTAATATTGATTGGGAAAAGATAATAAGGGAAATATATCAAAACCGGAGCAGACGGAATCTGGAGCAGTTGCCCATGACAACCAATCAGCATCTGTCTTTAGTTTGCTCAGTTAAGATTGGAAAATGAAAGAAAGAAGCTGATTAGTTGCAGTGCAAATCTGCTCCAGATTTATTATAACAGCTACAAGCATATCTAGAAGAAGAGCAGTCATTATATTCTAATTATCCAAACAAAGTTCAAACAATCTTGTTGGTGGAACCTCTACTTTGGTGGGTTCAGGGAATATGGTCCTTCTCCACTTTTACTAAATTAGATCAGGCATTCTGGGGAATTTTTGGAGGGACCAGCTTAATTAATAAATGGTTTTAGATTAGATATGTGTCTGTCCAATAAGTAAAATGGAGAGAGATGTCCAAAGAATGCTATTTTCCCAATGATTGGGACATTAGTTGGCTGCTCAGTCTCTCTTTAATCAGCATTCCGTAAAGTTAGGTAGTCTGTGCCTACCTGGGTCTCTGATAACTTCAGAACCTTGGACAGCCGCTTCTTCTCGTTGGATCCAATGTACCTGTGCTCCTTAAAGCTATTCTCCAACTCCTGCAGCTGCTCTTTGGTAAATTTGGTACGCGGCCTGGATGTGGCATCCTCTTCAGAAAGAGATCCAGGGTCTGTGTCTGAACTGTGACATTTCTCTGAAGAAGGGCTTGGGTTGTGAGTGGAAACTTCTTTGAATGCTCTTCTTGATGTGGTTACATCTGCACATAAGTAGAAAATACAAATTTGTAATGCATTTGAAACTTTCCACATTTAATGCATAAGCCAGCACACATCTGAACAAGTAACTGCACTCTCAGTCAATGATAACCTTCCTTATAATAATTACATCAGTGGATATAATCCAGTCCTACTCAACACGTGAAGCTTGTGGGACTACAAGCCCAACCCTAAAGTGACAAAACCTACTGATATCCCAAGTGCCACAGGCTATTGATATCCTACAGTCTCTATACTGACAATAAGAAAAGGAAAATGATAAACGACAAGAAGGATGTTGATTGTAATTAGATTCAGGTATTTAAAATACTCTGCAGTCAGTGTTCTTGTGTTTAAATCAGCTAATGACATATATGCAATGTCTAAGCAGGTGATTCCTGTTAAGCTTTTACTAAACATAAATATGATTTGTGTCCTCAATATCAAATTGTATTATAGTTTCAATGATATGTACATTAAACTGCCATATCTCCTTCTGCAGTGGTCCCTGTGTAACTATTGTGTTCAATGGTCTGTACTGAAAAATGTCTAGCTGTATATCCTTTTATCTAGGCAGCTGTTTGGAAAAAGTAACACACTTAACTTGTCTGGCATACATATCAATAATTTATAAAGCCAGGTATGAAAGACACTTATGAACATCTTGAACTATTATGGCTAAAATGTCAAAATTACATTAAAAAAAACCTACTTTTAGGTAAGCATTATAATAACTCAAAAATCAATAAAAAATACACATAATTTCTAAAAGAAAACAATTGCTAATTTTTCAATCAAGATTATAGTCACATATTTGAAAATAAAATAGAAAGTAAACATTTCCTAAGGGAAACTCAGAAAAAATTACAGTTCTTTTTTGAATACTTGCTCTGGGTTAGTGACTCAAAGTGGGAATAATTACTAGCACCCTATATATCACCCAGGGATGTTAAATAGTACTGTAGATGATTATTAGAAAGACTAGTATTATTACTCTTTACATAGTAAAATTAAATACATAAATAAATAAAAACTCATACCCGACTAATACCCTATTTATCACCCAAGGATGCTAAATGGTAGTAGAGGAGATCATTAGAAACACTCATAGCTTAGTTCTTACCATGTGCTTCTGCCTGGGTTCTTTGGACCTGGTAAAGTGCTGCTGTGCGGTCACAGTGATTTTCCTTCTCATTGCCGATAGTGCTTGGCCTCTCAATTCCCAGAGCATTGAACTCCTTATGATACTGAAGGGCAGATGTACCAGATCTGCATGTCAATAAATCCACACTAGGGTAAGTGGTATTCCTGTGACTGCTCTCTGACAGCCATTGCACAGAGTAAGCCTTCTTCTCCATTCCCAGTCAGAACTGCTGGTGTCCTCTTCCTCCAGAAAGGTGCACACTGGCCTTTCTATTGTGGCCCACACATATTTAAAGTCCTGGGCCAAGGTGGGGTGTAATGAGCCAACACTTGTAATGATGCCTATAACAATAGCCTTATTGGGTGTTACTGTCATTTCCATTGTGGTGTGATTGTCACATCCTCTTAATCCCTCAATACGGTAGTTAAAAGGGCAGTTGACTGGCTCCAAGTTCATTTCTAGAAGGCTAGCCTTCAATGATATCACAGACTGCTAATTGAATCAATACCTTTTTAGGATTAGATAGTCTCATATTATTGCCTTTACCCTTTTAGAGATTCATTGTCTCAGTAGATGATAACAGGTCCACTGGAGCCATCTCAATCACTCAGACTGACTTTAAACTTAATCAGAATTGTGCAAAGTTTTCACTTGATACTCTTCCAGGGGCAATGAGTGATTGGGTGTTATTGAATATATCATTCTGTTAAATTAATTGCTTTAAACAATTATTTTGGCTTGAAAAACAGCATTAAGGCAAGAGCAACATGACAGATAGAACAATGCATGGCAACCAATAGCTTTTTACTGGGCTGCTCAAAGCTCTTGGTATGTGAGGAATGATTGGCTACTATGGGTTACAGCCAATTCATTAGTCTTAACCAAGAATGAATGTGTATTTATCCATTTTGGTTTATGATATATATTTATTTAGAAATGGGTACACAAACATAATTTTAATGATCTGCCCAAAAGGTAAAACTCCTTAAATCTATACTTACTACTGTACTCAAACAGGAAAAGGACTAGGAAAGTAGACAATTTTATCAGATCTATGGTGCCAGGTTGTATTTGTGGGAAAATATGTTAATTTATTTTATTAAGGAAGAAGCATTCTAGGAAATGAGGCAAAGAGCACAGAGGAATGGATAGCAACAAATGTGTGCAGAGTGCATTTCAAAGTCAATAGCTTGATGTTTTTATGAAGTAGATCAAACGCTTAATTGTACAATTTGTGAAGGAGACAGGACACTCTCCCTCTCTCTCTCAGGTGATTCTAGATAAGAATGAGTTGCGCACCTCCCCCGTAACCCTTTACTCAATAGGTGTCCACAACGTACTTTGCTTCCCATTGGGTTTTTTACCCTTTTTGGTCTGGAAGAGGTTAAGGAAGAAGAGCAAGCCTTCTTCCTGCAAACAGCTAATTTAGCACAATAACTGCTTGTCTGGAAAAAAATGGCACCATTTTAACAGCATATAAGGGCCAATGATAAAGAACAAACTGCCTAAGCAGTTAAGTTATGCAAACAGATTTGAGGAAGAAAGCTAGGTGCTGATAGTTATTGTCTTCAAAGGGATCGTGTTGTCTACAGTATGTTTAGATTCTTCTCCAATGTTTGGCTACAAACTGTGGCCCCAAGCACATCATTGACATTTTTTTTAACTGCTTCTATATAACGTATATACATAGCTCACAACTCCCTTTCTTTGAGTAGAATCCCTCTTACTTTGACAATTCACCTTTTATATTGTTTAGGTTTGCTGTAAAGTGCGATTGTTCTTAAACAGATCTTCCAAAATTGTCCATATTGTTCACAACATTACCTTCGAGTCATGATGAAAATAGTTGCACATTTTCATGCATTTTGGGGAGCAAGGGCACCTTGTTCAATTCCAATAGCCCCCCTCCCCCCCAACACATGTAATTGTGGTCAACAATACAATGCACTACAAAGCATAGTTATGAGTAGACATGCTGTGGTGTGCTGCATTAACAAAACATTAAGTCGGCACGGTTTTTGGTTTGGGGACATGTATTGAGGGCTCATATAAAATTAATAGGCCAATGCAATGCAACACACATTGATGCACAAATAAACACATGTCGAACATGCACAAAACCGTGTGAGATGGACCCTACCAACTGAAGACGTTTGTAATGATATTTTTGTGTTGTCCAGTGTTCCCTGAATTATATAATTTCCAAGTTCATTATAATCACTTTTAACTTTTAAATGCCCACATTAATAGTACTTACATAACAGTCTGCATTACAAGGCTTTTATTTAGCCCATGGTCTCTCCTACAAGTGCTATATATTATGTTTTGTTATGTATATGTAATACAATTGTCATGCTGAATCATTACAAAGTGACCAGCTACTGTTAGCTTATAACAACATGTTTACAATTTCCTTTTCATTTACAAAGACACGAATACCATCATTTCACACCTTCCAGGGTGGAGGAGTCTTTCTGGCTGCGAACTAACCCAATGTAGCTGTCCTCCAGACTGCCTTTCTCATTGCTACTTTTGCATGTGTCTGCAACTCCTGGACACTCAGCACTGCAAAGCGACATATGAAAATTATCATTATTATTATTTTTAATACAGGATTTATATAGCGCCAACAGTTTGCACAGGGCTTTGCAATACAAGGAAGACATTACAGATACAATACAAAGCAAGACAAGATGGAAAGGAGGGTTCTGTCCGTGAGAGTGAAAATTGAAGTTTTGTTTTAAAAATGATGGCAAACAGTGTTTAATGTAATAAACAATACAAAAAAAATCCAAGAATTGTTTGATGACCTCTGTGAATACACCAATGTAATTTAAGTAAATATAGGAAAGTTGTGCCAAGAGAAAAAAATATACTTGTTGCTTGACTATCATATAAATCAATTTACTTCAGTGTTTTCTGAGTGTATTGTGATACAAAGATCAACAACAAGAGAAACAAATATGCTTGTTGCTTGACTATCATGTAACTCCATTTACTTCAATGTTTTCTGAGTGTATTGTGATACAAAGATTAATTGTTAATAAAGGTGTTTTTTTAAAGATGAAGCCATGGTGTGCTGGTAGCTTCTTCTTAGTTTTCTGAGTTTCTGACCCATATTGCGTAGTTCTGATATGCTCTGCGACATGTTTAGTACAGCACTCGTGTCTATGCTCCCTCAGATAATATGAGGATTTACTTGCTGCCCGCTTGTGCCATTCAGTAACACCGAAAGTACAGAGACAACAAGTGTTTCCAGAAGGTGATCAGCTTTCATATATACATACTTAGTAACATGGGGAGCAACTGCACTAAAGAACACATAACTCATCTATGTAACCCAAATCTAGACACCCCATGCAGGTCAGAGGGAAACATTTAACAAGGTTAACTGACTACCCTGGGCTGTCTGTTGATATATACTGCATTACCTTGCAAGCCACTGCATGTTTATAGGGCAATCATTATCTGAGTACTTTGTGTGCCACTGGAAAAGCATTCAAATTGTGTGAATTTTAATTACATATACAATAAACAGGAATATTGACATGTAAGCTTGATTGCTAGAAGGCCATTCTTAAGATAAATAAGTACACATATAAGTAGATAAACAAATCTGGTTAATTGACTAAATGTTCCACTATAGAATTGAAAAGTGTTTAGCTGAACCTATCTCAGCTTGTTCTTTTGTACAGACTATGGAGACTGCTAAAATCTAATCTTATTGGATCTCTGAGTCACCAATTGCAGACATGTCTTGACCTGTCTTGGCCTGTTCCACTCTTCTCTGGCCAGCCACCTGGAGAGCCCTTCACACATGTAATGGCACCTATATAACAAGTACCTGGAATTTAATTGAGAGATATCTAAAGCCAAATGTTTTTCACTGCTTTGCATAGTTTGGAAAGGTTAAAGCAAGTGTATTTTTTTCTAACAGGAAATAAGTAGACATCTCTTCAAAGTAAAAGGAAGTCTCCCCTTAGACACGTAGCAACTGTAAAATGTTGAATCTTCTATCCGTTTCCTATGACCCTTCAGTGACACAGGGAACATAGAGGGGAATCAATTCAATAGAAACATAGGTAGCACATGAACCAGACAGAGGCTCTGATCTTTCCCTACTTCATTCTTTAATCTACAATAATAAAAAAAAGGCTATAGCTTCACTTTAAGGTAGGTACCCATACAGTAAAACTTTAGTAGCCTGACCCAGACTGGGCAGCTGAATCTTTATCAAATTTCACCATATATACACTTCAGGCATTTGGTAGTTGAGTCGGTAGCTAGGCATAGGCACACAGTGATCACACACACTAGCCAGTGTAGAATTTATACTCACTATATTCTTATTTTGACTGTCTTGGGTCACCCCACTAGCACCTCAGTCAGGTCTCTCACCCTGATAAGATTAGAGGTCATATGCAAACAAAGCACACTGAGGATGTGGGAAGACCTGAAAGACAGAGGCCGCCAATTATGAGTCTATACATCTAGAACTGGTGATTCAAAGCGTAGGCAAACTGTCACCCTACTTTGCTGGTTAAACTGTAACTTCACAGTATATGATGTATTCCACCAGAGTAGTGTTGAGTCATATAGATACTGAAGGCCAGAAAAAGCATAGGAAGGCATCTCTGCACAAAATAATGCCCATCCTAAAGGGAATTATGTTTTAAAGGCTTAGTTTACCTTTTCTACCATGTTTCATGTTACACCCATATTCAGTGTGTAACATGAAACATGGTGATTTCTCTCTAGTCCTGATCCAAGTTCCTCTTAAAAAACCTCTTAATGAGTCTTTTTTTTTTCACCCTTGCTTACATCACTTTGCTTAAACGGTATGAAATCCGTTACGTTGAACCTCTTTTGTTTGTTCTTTTAAATGTACCATTGAAAACATTTTGTGATATCTGTTCTATAAATGCAATAAAAATTATCTGTTGATCTTGACAGCTACATCAGTTGCATTGTTCCCAGCTATCTCTGAGGAATATAGAACTCATCTACTTTATGGAGAAGAGGAGAGTTGAAGTCTGTCCTAGGTGGCAACATTTTTCCCCACAGATAGAGTAAAGTGAAGGCTTGTTGTCACCTTAGGCCAGGAAGTGCGTTTTTGGCAGGATCAGCAGGTAAAAATAAAATGTAGGAAAAAAGCATGAAAAATGAAAATGAATGCAGCCACCACACCCACGGACTGATTAGCTGCAATATACAGTATTAATGTTTTGATTTAGATACACTTAAAGCGATGTATACTTTTTTTATTATACATTCAAGTCTTGTCTGTTCTATTTTCTTATTCTGTTTTTTTTTTAATTTACAGCTCTTTAGTTGGTCCTTGTTTCCTTGCCTGCCTCCTTGCAGCTCTTTTCTAATTTATTTCCTTTTTTGTTAGGAAACAGTCCACCCCATTATAAATATACTTTTCCCAAATGATAGGCATATCAGTTCTGGGTGGCCAAGCTCCACACTGGCAGATTTATGTCTAGGTCTGCTACAAGATAAATGCCTTTACTGACATCACAGTTTTTGGCCAGATAGGGGATTTATGATTCAGTGTCTTTGAAGCACCCCCCTCCCAAGGCTTTATACTATATACTATACTGCCTTTCACTGATAAGCTGACATTGGAAACATCTATGAGTGGTTTATAGATAACCCCACACTGCTCTAGAGGCTAAATGCAAAGGATTACCTGAGTTGGTTGTTTTTTTGTTTAGGTACCTGGTGACCACCACAGATGCCCAAGGGCAGTTGGGCCATGCCCATCTCCAACCCTCCAGTAGATGTATATGGCCACCTTTTATTCTGGAAAGGGTCTATTATTGTTGTACTCTACCAGCCTGATAAGTTTACAAACACACAACATTTTGTGCAATGCTACACAAACTTCCATATTTCAACCAACAATTCAGTGCAGAAAATTAGATTATCGGGAAGAGATAACCCAAAGAGTATTATTTGGCCTTGTTTATATCCTGACAAGGTGATTACACAATAGACACAGATGTATGATTAACTTAAGACACTTATCCTGACCATGTTAAACATTTTTTAATCCACTGATTAACTAGGAATTGTAAGAGTTAGCTATATATTGTTCTTCTAGGCCCATAACATAATAAATAAGGGCAGGCAGAGAAAGCTGGCCTGCACTAGTGTAGATAATCTTGTAATCTGTGAAGTTCCAGTTAAATAGCTTACTGGTAGATGATAGTTTTAAATAGTCTGACTTTACTATTATCTTTTTGAATACAGCAATACCTAAGCCAGCTTTGACATTAAATGCTGTTTTATGCAAGCACAGTGTAACTGAATATATAATAAAATAAGAATATATAATAATTTGTATTTAGACTGAACATGCACACTTTGAGTGGATCAGTGGAGGGTAAAAGGTGCTACAGACACATAAGTGGCTCAGAGGACAATGATAACAATCAAAAACTAGTTTTGATGAGAACATTTGGTAGGATCTCAGGTCTGATGGCCATCCTTACAGCGGGCCATCGACATTAAAGGAGAACTATGGGGTTAAGGCTTTTCCCCATAGTTCTCCTTAGTGTAACGGGAGGACACAAACTAGCGTCCTCCCGTCACCCTAGGCTCAATATACCGCAAGCTATAGCTCGCGTTATACTGAGACGCCGCAGCTGAAGTGGATCCCGACAATTGTGCCGGGATCCGCCCAGCTGCGTGACTAACAGCTGGCTCTGCCTATCTAGAGGCAGAGCCAGCTGTACCCGCCCCCTCCCCCATCCGTTCCGCCAGTCAGCGCTGGCACAGTGGAGCAGGGAGGGGGGAATCCGGCCCCTCCCCTGTCATGGCAGAGAGC